AAGCAGCTGTGGCCAGCCTCACTGCTGGCCTGTGCAAGCCCCCACAGTGTCCAGGGGAATTGGCCCCCATCTGTAGCCGGGTGGGAGGACTCTCTGCCCTCAGGTCTGTGCCAGCACCACTGCCCCCGCATTTCTTGGTGGGGAACAGAGTTTTCACCCCCTGCCCCAGCTCTCTGGTGGCAGAGGTGGGAGGGTGGCCACACTCGAGGGGGGCTGGTGGGAGCGGAGGGCCATCTGGTTGGGCCGGAGCAGAGCCCACAGGAGATGAGGGTGCTTCTCTGACCTGGGTTTGAGTAAAGACTTAGTTCATTGGCATCTAGAGGGAAATCCACAGGTTGAGCACATCTTTACCTGAGGGTCCAGGGTCTGAGGATTTGGAGCCAGGCATGGCTCAGCCTCCAGCTCCACAGGGTGAGATGACCTGGGCATGGGCACCCCACCTTCTCCTCCAGACAGAACCCTCTCAGGCCCTCACCAGGGCCTTTGAGAGCTGGGCAGGTGAGAGGGCTGTGCAGGACACACTGGGCAGCGGACAGAGGGGGCTGTGGGCAGGGCGTGCTGGGCAGTGGACAGAGGGGGCTGTGCAGCTGGACCGAGACCGGAGAGGCAGAGAAAGGCTGTAGGGGGAAGCCTGTGCCCAGGGAGGAGGTGGCATGATCAGAGCTTCAGGAGGATGCACAGTGCCCACAGATAGGCCAAGGGGCAGTGGGCCTGCTGTGCACTGAGCAGACCCTGTAGTCCCCCTCGGAGACCAGGATGGATGCTGGAGGGACAGCCACTGCATGCCAGCCCCTCTGCCTGGATGACCGGGCACTGTCCCAGACGGGCAGGGCTGCTCACCCCACCAGATGTCAGAGACTTTAAACGTGACTGTCTAGTTCCTCCTGAAAGAAGCAGCTGTGGCCAGCCTCACTGCTGGCCTGTGCAAGCCCCCACAGTGTCCAGGGGAATTGGCCCCCATCTGTAGCCGGGTGGGAGGACTCTCTGCCCTCAGGTCTGTGCCAGCACCACTGCCCCCGCATTTCTTGGTGGGGAACAGAGTTTTCACCCCCTGCCCCAGCTCTCTGGTGGCAGAGGTGGGAGGGTGGCCACACTCGAGGGGGGCTGGTGGGAGCGGAGGGCCATCTGGTTGGGCCGGAGCAGAGCCCGCAGGAGATGAGGGTGCTTCTCTGACCTGGGTTTGAGTAAAGACTTAGTTCATTGGCATCTAGAGGGAAACCCACAGATTGAGCACATCTTTACCTGAGGGTCCAGGGTCTGAGGATTTGGAGCCAGGCATGGCTCAGCCTCCAGCTCCACAGGGTGAGATGACCTGGGCATGGGCACCCCACCTTCTCCTCCAGACAGAACCCTCTCAGGCCCTCACCAGGGCCTTTGAGAGCTGGGCAGGTGGCCAGGTCCCCTCTGCCACACCATCAGTAGCAATGTTCTCATTGCCACTGGTCCTCATGGCATGTCCTCTTGTGATTTGCAGCAAATGTCTTCCTTGGTCACGGAGCACATGGAGTCTCATGGCACCCAGTTCCTGAGGGGCTGCATCCTCTCCCGTGTCAGGAGGCTCCCGGACGGCCAGCTCCAGGTTACCTGGGAGGACCAAGCCTCTGGCAAAGAGGACACAGGTGCCTTTGACACTGTCCTGTGGGCCATAGGTAAGGGTGCGTCGAGTCGCACACACTCTCTGGTCTCCTAGAGGCCCACGGAGACCGACAGAACCGAGTCCCTTGCAACAGAAATCTTTGTTCCCCTCCCTTCTCATCACCTCCTGGGGCTCCCCCAGCCTGCCGGCTCCCAGGTGAGCTGGCCGCTACCTGGCGCACCTCCCGTGGGGACGGCGCCCACTCCTGGCCACGCTCATCTTACATTCCGGAGCACACTGTCTCTGTTTCTTTCTCCACTGCCATGGGACGTTCTGGAAAGAAACCAAAGGAGACCTAGGTGGTGTCAGCCAGGTGTGGTCATTTGGGAAAGACTAGTTAGTCCTCCTGGCTTTCCCTGTGTCTTGATAGATTGTTGGTTAAAGTTTTAGCACATAAATCCTCTACATTTCCTACTACGTTCAAGCCTTGGTATATTTTTTTCTTTAGCAGATTAGATATTTTACACTATATCTTTTAAAACAAAAGTGTTGTTTTTAACAAAAAATGATATGGACCTTAATTATTTTAAATTGTGGTAACACATACGTGACATACACATCTTTAAGTGGACATTTCAGTGGCATTAAGTCCGTCACGCTGGTGCGCGGCCATCACCGCCACCCAGCTCCAGAGCCTTTTCATCTTCCCCAGCTCCGTCCCTGTTACACACTCATTCCCTGTCCTCCCTCCCCCCAGCCCTGGCCCCCACCATTCTACTTTCCATCTCTGTGAATCCGATGGCTCTAGGGACCTCGCACATGTGGTATCATACAGTATTTGTCCTTTTGTGACTGGCTTATTTCACTCAGCACACTGTCCTCAAGGTTCAGCCATGTTGCGCGTGTGTCAGAATTTCCTTCCTTTTTAAGACTGAATAGTTTTGTTTATCCGTTCACCTGTCGATGGACACTTGGGTAGCTTCCACCTTTGGCTCTTGCAAATAATGCTGCTGTGAACACGCGTGTACATAGCTAGCTGTTTTTTACATATAAATGACACGGATTTTTTACTAACCAGCCTTCTCCTGGCTTCCAGTACTACCCAGTTTGTTGCTTTGGGCTCTGTGGGTCATCACATGCTAGGAGCGAGCATCTCCCGGGCCTTTCCAGAAGTCACACTTTGAAGGTTTCCAAAGGCAGCATCTAGTGATGGGGCGGAGGCTTGGAGCCTCTCCTGGCCAGGCATGGGCTGGCTACCCTCGCCGCGCATGGTTCTGGTCTCTTCTTTCTGTTCTCTGTGAGGCTCAGATCCAGTTTTCCAGGGGAACAAAGGCCACCTGGGTGTGGCTGTGCAGGAGGAGCCTGCTGCCCACCTTGCTGGACACACTGCCTCTCCCTGGTGGGACCCCCTGAGGAGAAGGGTAGAGAGCAGACCCCTGCCCAGGGTTTGGGCCCATCTGAGGGAGGCCAGGACGCAGTGGCCACTGCACGCGGGCTCCCGTGTAGAGGGCTGCGGGTCTATCGGTGAGGGTGGTGTGGCACACCTGCTGAGTACCAGCGTCTTCTGGTTTTGGCTTCTAGTTTTCCTAACTACCCTGTGGACTTGCATGTTGGCAGTGGGAACGATCAAGGTGTTGCTTTCTCTTCAGTATTTCTAGTTCCCTGGTCTCCCTGCACTGAGCCTGGTTTTTGGTGCCCCTCATGAGCCCAGGCTCAGAGCCAGGATCGCCATCAGCAGCCTCGTCTGGCTCCACATCAGTGAAGCCCGAGTTTACTCATAGTGAGGGGGCCCAAGGCACTTGTCCTAGCTCTGCTGGCCAGAGTGCCAGAGTCCCCTGAGATGGCTCCCAGAGCAACAAGGTTGCAGAGCAACATGCTTCTGAAAAACCTGTCAATTTTTCCTGAGTTGCTCGGAATGAATGGAAATCAGCAATGGAATCGAATCCGGAGGAGCGGGACCCTTGGCTTTTGTGCAGTGGGCGCAAGAGCAGACTGATGAGCGAGGCAAGGATCTGACTCGCTGGTGTGAATTTAGTGCCTCTTGACCCAAAGTTGATGAGTTATCAAAGGAAATGTTCTTGGTCAAATTGTGAAAATTTATTTTAAGTAAGTTCATTACGATCATCACTGTGAAAGATTAGGCAACATTTGAGACCCAGAAATGTACTGCTGTTTACTGTCATAACCTCCATTCTAAATGATGATGTGGTGTGTTTCTCCCCCCGACCCGCACCCCAGTCCTCCGCCTTTGTCCCCTGATGTCTCCTCATACCCTGCTTCTACAGGTACAGGCTATTGTCCTGCCTTTGGACCATGGGTGGCTGTGCAGCCAGACTCATTGGCTGAACCCATCATGATGGCAGCGGCTCATAGGGCCAGGCTGTGCCATAGGGAAGCCTGGGTCCCCCCAGTTTCCAGGTAGGGCCCTGGTGGGTGAGAGGCAAGGCCCTTGCCCAGTGGAGCTGCCGTGGCACGTACTTACACCCACCCTCCTCCACTGGGAGTCCGTTTTATTTTTTGTGTTTTCAAAAAGGGCATCCACCAGACAGTCTGCCAGGCTTGATTGATGCTCAGGGTGGAAGCTTTTCACAGTCCTTGGCCTTTGACCTTGCTTCCCAGTGGTGGTTTCTGGCACGCCTTCTGGGGGGCGGGGGCTGCACAGGCATGTGCTGACTTTGCTGCTAGTTCCCAGCCAGGTTTTGTAAACATTCAGGAGCCACTTCCCAGTTTAATAACCAGGAATGTTCTCTGCTCGTTCACACGAATAAGCCTTTAGCCAAGCATTATTTGTACCTCCAAGAGGTAAAAATAAAACACCCTGGGGGGCTGTACAGCCAGCTCCACCACCGTCTCCTTGGATTGTGCTTCCTGTCCTGAGCAGCGAGCATTGAGTCTGCACAACCTGGGCTTTGATGGGTGTTTAAACACAGAAAAGAGAAGGAGGCCCTCGTGCCCCTGAAGACACACACGGAAGGGGCCTGGGTGCTGCACGGAGCTCCTGTGTGGGGCCGAGTTCCAGTCCTGCCTGGCTGCCCATGTGCCCAGCCAGGACAGTGGACGTTGGCATCGCGAATGATGGGCCCTGCTGTCTGGAAGCTGAGGAGGACTCTTCCTCGGCACAGCCTTGATCTCCACGTGGTGGATTAAACACATTAGCAGTTAAAGCAGTTAATTGCTGTGCAGGGGGCCCCCGTTCATTGTTTGTCTGTGAATCACCCGCCCACACCAGGTGTCTCAGATAATAGACTGGGAACTTCAGCGAGGAGGATTTCCTGTCTGCAGATGTGCCGATTACGGCGCTGAGTGAAGACAGTCAGCCTGCACCGCCACAGGCTCGATTTCGCCTGCAGAGTTAACCAGTTGTGGCCTGAATCCCGGCCGTCTGCGGGAGCTGGACGGGCCAGGGTCTGAGCAGATGCCTCTCAGTGCAGACACTTCTAAGTTCTAGCTGAGCTCAGATTTGGTTTTAAAAAATGGACAGGGTTTGGGCCGGCCCGCGGCGCACTCGGGAGAGTGCGGCTGGGAGCGCAGCGTCGCTCCCGCCGCGGGTTCGGATCCTATATAGGAATGGCCGGTGCGCTCACTGGCTGAGCGCGTTGCGGGCGACACCAAGCCAAGGGTTGTGATTCCCTTACCGGTCACGAAAAAAGACCACCAAAAAAAAAAAAAAAAAAAAATGGACAGAGTTCCTCTGGAGCACAGCCTTGGGAAGACCAGAGCTGGGATTGTCACATGCCCCTTAGCATCCCCAGCCCCCCAGATGGTTCTGCTTCTGTCTTGGGGCAAAGATGTTGAGGACTCCAGCACATCTGTCCCTGGGCCACGGGAGTCCCCCAGGCCTGTGTGCTCCCTGGAAGGAAGCTTGCCTCCAGCCCCCAAGGAGCTTCCCCAGGTAAAAGACACCGCCATCGGGACAGCCTGGGGGGTCCCTGGTAGGCACTGGGGGTCACAGTGAGCAGCCAGAATCATGTCATGTTAAAGTCCAGGGGCTCAGGCATTCATTCAACAAATACTCAGCCCAGCTGCATCCTGAGGCCTGTGTGACAGCTGTGTGCCCCTGCCCCTCGGGGCTCACAGTGGTGGGTGGGGCCTGGGCTCATTGAGAAGGGGCAATTCAAGCAAAAAGGAAAAAAGAAGATAACAAGTAGAAAAAAAAGCCTCAAGGATCTGGCTCCAGATTCCAAAGGTGTGGGACCCTTTCTGTGCCTGGCCCAAGGTGCAGCGCTGGGCAAGCAGCAGGCCTGGCCCTGTGGGAGGAGCTGGTCTGGCGGCCACATGCCCCTTGGGCCGATCACCCAGGCTGTCCACGTGGGCCTGCATGTGAGGTTCCGCCTGCCTCGCAGGGATGCTTCCTTTACACCCTGGTTGCGTGTGTCTGGATCGCAGCCCCTCACTCACGCAGCCGTACTCCCGCTGACACTTAAATCTCACCTCATTACACGGATTGTCCTTCCTTGGTGGGAACATGTGCTCCAGGCAGGCGTGAAATTGGAGGGCATGGCCATCACAGGATGAAAGAAGCGTGTGACACTGCACGCGGCCGGCCGTCTGTGCATCCCTGTGTCCAGCAGAGCAGGTAGTAATGACCGCTGGCTGTGCTCAGGGTGGTTTTCGTCCTTCAGCCTTCTCCGGCCGCTCCTTGGGACCAGGCCAGCTGGATGAGCCCTGTGGCTGGGCCGCCTCCCCGGGCCAGTGGCAGCAGCCGGGAAGACTCCCAGGGTGATCAGAGGAGGGCTGGCCCTGCCCGGCTGCTCCGAGTGCTCTTAGGGGCCAGATGCTGCCCCTGCCACCACCGCAGGCCCCCGCGGCATCCCAGACGGTGGGGGGTGGGCAGGAGGCAGCTCCCAGGGCCAGAGGTTTCCCTGCTTCCTGAGCTTCACTCACAGTTACACAGGAGGAAGCGAGAACTTCCAAACGGGAGTACCTGGGATTTTAATGGCCTCATTGTTTGCAGAAAATACGGCAGAGCGTCTGGAATCTATTACCTGAGAAGCTCTTATAAGGCAAGAGTGTTGTGAAGATATCTGTAAGTGAATGAGAAAAGGCAGGAACTGGCAATTCCCAGAAGAAGCA